CCCCAAAACCCCAAAACCCCAAAACCCCAGTATATAACTTTGAGAATGAAAAGATTTTAAATTATAAATGGGAGGTTCCTTTAAGAAGATTGTATATGGAATGTTCAAGTATGTCAGAGAAATTGATAGATATGGCAAACCAATACCACTGCATTATAGAGGAGATGATAAGTTCAAGACTTATATTGGAGGTTCTGTTACTATCCTGGTACACTTAGCGTTATTAAGTTATGCTTCCTACCTTTTGGCTGTTATGTTCAGAAGAGAAGATGTCATTTACAACACAAGTCGTGTTGTAAGGGATCTTAATCAAGATTTAAGTGACCATAAGCCAGCCCAGCATGGCTTTGCCATAGGCATCGGGTTTAGGTGGAATAATATCAGCTTATTAGATGAAGAATTTTTGAAAATGTACAGAATCAAGGCTTATCAATTCTCTGCAATTCTCCAGCCTAGTGGTTGGAAAGAGACAGAGGAGGAACTTGAGTTGGTAAAGTGCAAGGATCATTTTCCATATTATAACCAAACTCAACTGAAACGATTCAGGATCAATAACTTCGTGTGAATAAAGACTAAGGATTATTCTTTAGTTGGAAACTTAATCACAGACGTCTCAAAAACACTGAAAATAAAAATTGGGAAATGATCAACAAGTGAAAGAACAGACTGAGATACTTCCTCCTACCCTGACAGTTATATCTTCTCTCAGTACCTCGAAGTGGCTATGATCAATAGCTATTTCGATGTGAAAAGTTTCAATGACCCTATTAAAACCTATCTAACCCAGGAATATTACTATACCTACCAAGCGAACAGCAAGTTGGAGACTAATTTCTACTTGAAGGAAAATAACGTGAAGGCTCTTGATGACTATACCCTCATTGATGGCACTAATAAAGAGAAATTTTACACTGTTTCTAAAGAAAAGACTGATAGATACACTTATACTTCTGATAATTATGCAGAGATTGAGTTCCATTTGGACCCAGAGACAGAGGTATACATCAGAAATGTCTTCACGTTTATGGACATGCTAGCGAATATAGGAGGAATCTTTAGCCTCCTAAACTCCTTTGCAATGCTGATCGTTGGATTCTATGGAGAGAAGATGCTCAAAAATTCGATTATAGCAAAATGATATACTTTAGATAAGAGTGAGCTTTCTCAAGAGGACTTTTGCCAAGATGGTCTTGATGATTTTAAATCTGGAAATGACCATATTCCAGAGGAAAATAATAATGTTGAAAATCAAAATTTCCCTCAAGATAATTTTATTGATGAAGAGAAAGAAAACAAGAAAGAAGAAAGCGAAGACTTTGAAGGAGGCTCCAGAGAAGGTTCCAAAGAAGAAGAGAAAGAGCATCAAAATTCAAGAAATTTTTAACACTAATTATGACAATGAATTGTTAAGAAAGCTGAACAACAAGAGAAGATATAATTACTCACATCTAGATATGATCTATAACTCCTTCTGCTTGTTCAAACGCAGGAAATGGTGCAGAAAGAAGTACATAAATTCCCAAATTTGCAACAAAGGGTTTGAGAAGTATTCGTTAGACACAGATATTTGAAACATCATATCTGTTTGCCACCAATCCAAACTTCTCATCGAGTGGCTTCTAGATGAGAGGCAGATCTTTTTGTCAAAGTTTGGCAACAAAAGTTCGCTGAGTTATATTGATGAGGATCTCAGGAATCCTCTTAAAGATATTATCAAATACAAATGCAAGAATTTTTATGAGAGAGAAGAACAATTTATTCATAAGAACGAAGGTAAATTTTCAAATTTCAAAATTTAGAATTTGTAAAGAAGATCAGCATGGAAGGAGTAAGAGACTTCGACCAATTCCTGATCAACCAAATCGAGCCTTCCCCTTCACCAAAATATCACCACCACTCTCCACCAACGGATACCATACCCAAAGCTATCCCAGCCACCTCCAAAGTAAGCTCTCCCACCTACTCTAAATCCTCTAAAATACCCAAAACACTCTTAAATTCCTCACCTAATTTACGCAAAAATAGTACGTTTTAGTCAAAAAATACCATTTTCTTCAGATTTTTCAGAAAATCTTTATCTTGACAAAAATTTGTTCGGCAAATTTTGAGTTTTTATGAATAAATTAGTACTTTTGTGAACAAATTTTGAGGTGGGAGAACAGGAATTTGGAAGGGATGGCAAGGTGGGATTTTAAGGGGTGTAGGAAGAGATGAGAAATTATTTTAGGTGGTTTTATGATGGAGGGGAATGGGGGTTTGTGGATTGTGTAGAATGTGAATTTGTAGTGAGATTTTGGAGGGGAGGATTTGATTATTGTGAAAATAGGGTGGAAAGAGGAGTACAACTCCTTTCCAGACTACTCATTCTAATGATAAACAAGAGAAAATGAATGATAATAAGATTAAAAGAACTTTACCAAAACCCAACTACAGAACTGATGAAGAATTGAAGAGAGAGCATCTGAAACGAGAAGAAAACATTGAGTAAGCTTCTTTATAGATCTTTGCTTAATTTTATAGTTCATGCGACTTAAATGATATTGGTAAGCAAATTATCCATTGGATTCTAAGCAGAAGAATTTCCAAGGTTTATATAATAAAGAAGGATTATCAAATTTTATTTCAAATCTTATAATGTTTAGGTAGGTTATCTAATTTATGAAAATACCTAACTAAAATTCTGAGTTTTTGAATAAGGAACACTTTTACAAGTCATAGTTCTAATTTTTCTGGGCAACCAGAACAATGTGAATGCTGATTTTATCAATAATATTAACAAATGTATAGGTATTGAGTTTAACAATCAGAAATCTATGATAGAAAAGTACAAAAGAGAAATTTCAGGAACTACGATGCATCAATTAAACAAAAATTCCAACCCTTACAAAGCAAAGATTGGTAACGAAAAGCCGACTTAGCTGCAATTCTGGATTAGTGGGATAATTATTGAAAGTTCAATACCAGATCCATAGCTTGGGGTTTTGGGGTTTTGGGGTTTTGGGGTTTTGGGG